ACTCTTCCACCCAACAAACACAGAATTAAAAATGGAAAATCTTGGGCTGCAGAGATGGCTGAGTTAAGATCATTTAATACTCTTGCAGAGGATCAATTCTTAGCCCCATGTCAGGGGCCTCACAACTCCCTGCAACCCCAGCTCCAGGGGATCCATCACCTCTGGCTTCCCTGAGAACTCGCACTCACACCCACATATCCACTCATGAGAGACACACATACACATAGTTAAAAATAACAAAACTAAATCTTGAAAAAGAACCAATAAAGGCAAGGTCCGCTCTAAGGACAAGATCTAAAGACTCTGACACTTGGGGGATCACTGTGACGTATTTCCAGTGTCACATAGAGTCTAAATCCCCATCTTCCAAATGTCAAAGACCCCAACAGGGGATCTGAGTTTCCCAGCTTCAGTGAAGAGCTCCTGGCTGGCACCTCCCAGCTGTGACTGGATAAAAGAGGGGAGCCCTGCAGAAACCCCATAGGTCCTGGGGTCCTAATGCTGGAGGATTTTGCCGCCACTTTTTTTTTTTGGTTTCCATTTCTAGCAAAGACTACTTTGAGTACTAATTCTTGCTTTGAGACAAATCAAAACAAGAATGCAGACTTAAAGAGAGAATTCATTGGGAATACTGACTTTGAGGGTGCAGTTGTCCTGTCCTCTCTAAAACCTTGGTTCAGATAGTCAATGCAGGGACTGGAGAGATGGCTCAGTGAGTACAGTGCCTGTCTTACAAGGATGAGGACCTGCGCTCTGTACCCTGTGGGCATGCAAAGGCCCACCCAGTGTGCACGCATCTGCAGTCCCATCGCTGGGGTGGTGGAGCCTGCAGGCCGGCTAGTCTAATTAAACCAGGGAGCGCCAGGGTCAGTGAGGGACCCCATCTCAAAAATAATGTGGCTAGTGATTGAGGAAAACACCTGATGCCTCCACGTGTGTGCACATACTATATACGCACACTACACGTACACACACACACACACACACACACACACACACACACACACACACAC